TATATAAATCCAAATCAAGAATGTCTCCAACCTTATTTTCGTTGTGCATATACGCATGGCTTCCGGCTCAAGACCAGCAGCCTACCCACAGTACAGCCAGACCCGAAAGTCTCCAACGAAAAGCAGGAAACTGTCATCTCCAATCTGTACTGCGATCAAGTTACTTTCCGTTTATCGTTGCAAGGCTATCATCTGCTCAGTGCGGCACAGTAAGAGGAAAGCAAAAGTTAATGGAAGGGCTCAAAAGTGGCAAGTGGAAACCATCCCACGTATCTGATAATAGAAATCCGTTGCCGTCAGCTACTGCTCGTGTGACTGATCTAGCTTGTGTTGGCTCAATGTCAACTGTGAAATTGTGCAGGGATGTTCAAGTGAAGAAAGTAGATGGATTATGCACCGAACGTTAAGTTAGCGGCATGAATGATTTGAAAAGGGTAGCTGTAATGTAGTAATCGCTCGACGGGGTATTATTCGCAAATACTGGAAAGTGTGGCAACTGTGATGTAGAGAAAAGGAATGGAAAAAATCAGGTGAAAGAGGCATCGAACATTGCTGGTTGTCCCTCATATGATGGCGTCTCACAAGACAGCACACTTATGAGAGACGAAAGGGTTGATTCAGTTCGTCACTTCCATGTATCAAAGAAGAAGAGTAATTCCAAGCCCTACATCTTCCTGTTACTCGGGACAGACTACGTCGCGACAAATCTTTCAACGATCCTCAGACAGAAGCAAACTGTAGTAAATGGTAACGGAACATAAATCCTTCAATCAAAAACATCGTTTGTGTTCGTTATCACGAATATTTATTGGGCAGGTGGGGTTAGTGATGACATAGGCAACTCAACTTACCGCTCGGTACAAGAGCGTATCACTGCACAAAGTAAGAAAGCAGTTCTTCTGTAATTGTCGGTTGTTTGGAAACTTTTCCATTGCCGTCAACGTCATTCGAACAGCTCGGTTGAGTACCTCCAAGGGCAGCTGACAACTTTGCTCACCTCTTGTCAAATTGTAGATGACTGCAGTGCCAGCTAAGATCATTTCTACGCGTCGTAGATGTAACCGCATGACACGGAGGACTGCCTTGAAGTGTAGGATCAGTGATATTGGAAAGGTTAGATGTAGAGCCAATAGTAAAAAACGACTGCAAACCCGTCGCGATGATGCGAACTCTCAAGTGTCATTGCAGAATGTACAAAAAAGATGGAGACACGAAATGTTCGAACAAAAACTCCATCATCACGAGCTTGTGTACTGGGTACCAAACAGTTTGTTCATTGATTGATGCGAATACTAATAATGTAAACTCATGCGTTCTACCTCATATGGTCATATGTTTACCCGTTGAAATCCAGGAATATCTCCAAAGCGGAATGGACAGATGTTTCGATTGTAATCAGTACTGTCCTTCTTTTAGGAAAATACACACCAACACTAAACAAACGTCTGAAAAACGAATCTAGTTTCAAATGACCTCGAGCAAAAGCCGAGCAAATTCGGCTAGGCGATTGCTGTATTTGGTGATGCTTCAGATAGTACCTTTTGTACCTTATGATCGTCTGAAATTTGGCAAAGAAATCACGCTGTGCGGTATCGGCTCAGTCGCCATATCCTGATACATAAAGGAAAGCCGTGTGCTGCATGGTCAAATTCCCGGTGAGCACCAGATAGCCAGCTTGTTACGCTAAACAGCACGACCAACACAATAACTTTTGCGATCTTGATGCGCTTCCAAATGCAGTGGAGACCACTTCGATTATTGGGCGAAGACGATAAAAGCAAGTGAAGCTCTTTGAGTATTTCTAAAAATCGTAGCTCGTTTGCTACTACAAAAATATGACGACTAAAACAGCCCCAAGATGCAGTCAGTCCGGATTCTACGGACATCAGTCAACTTGCGATCGATTGTGGAAAACTCACTGCAAGGAAGCTGGACGGTTCTCAAGAACCCTAAAGAACCCTCATTACGGTTCTCAAGAACCCTCAAGAACCCTCATTACGTCGAACACTCGATCCGACGCATAGTGCCCATTGTGCTACTAACCCGTATCACCTCGTTTCCGTTAAGCAACGTAGGCAAGAGTTTACCAAGGTCAAGACACAACGTACTCCCATAAAAAGCGTCTATTAAGATAACGCCGTATCAAAGATGGTATCTAATGCATTGATAACAAGTTATATCCAACTGTGAACAACGAATCGAAGAGCTAAATAAGCTCGTCAACAGATTGAAGTTCCATACAGTATAACCATATAGACTTAAAGAAATAATGCGAATTGGTTCTGGAATACTGACGTTTTCCTGTCGCGTTTGGACATCGTCTAGAGGTTGAATGGGTTACAGCATTTCCATTCCCGCGCATCATCCTCGCACCACCAGTTAGCTGTTCCCACAATAATAGGTTCTTAGCTAGCTGTCCATTAAGACAGCATTTCTAGCTGTCTACTACATGTTGGGAGAAATAAAAATAAATAAAATGATATGAAATGGAAGTCAGGAATGCTCAAATTTGACGAGAAATTTCCATCAGGGAGAGGTTATGTCAACCATACCCATTGAGGGATTTCTCAGGCTTCACTCATGCTATTCAGGTCAGCTTGTTGCCAATCCTGTCTAACCCCCTGTTGTTGTCGCGATAACAGGTGCACACTTCCTGCGGAGAAGCATGGTAAAACTCAACATGCAACATTGTCGTTAGATAGGAAATGGGCCTAATGATGATTCTGAAACCTGTTGTAAGCGCGCGCCACCCACTCATGTGATTGCAAAAATAAAACAGAAGTGAACGTCACCACGTAACCAATAAACATTCGATTTCAATATGGCTTAGGTGTGATCCTGCGCGGTAGTAAAAACCAAGCGGCTTGGGATAACATCAACTGGTGACCAGTAGAAAATTCCAATAGAACGTAACTCCGAACATAAGTTCGATGAGCCCCAACAAAACAAACAGGCTGCGCTTTTGCCGATCGAACTGACTACGTTAGACCTTCAGGTAGTAGAGCGATGCGTATTGAAAGAACGAGGCTTCCAGGTAAATGAA